CTATGGGAAATGCCTTTATGGTAAGGATTAACATGGATGTTTCAAAGAAATTTGTGCAACTATCCATTTTAGTGTTTTTCTATGATTTTCTTAACTTCTCTATTTACTGATAGGCTTTTCATACGCACTCCTGAATTCCACCCTGGCATCCACGACCCATGGTCTGTCCCCTAAAGAGCCCCAGGCCACACTGTGTTGTCTTACTCTGATCTCCCTCTCTGATGGTGACCTTTCTGACAATACCTTCTATTATTTTCTTTTTCCATCCTCCAGTCAAAGAACGTCCTTTACTGGGTCCCTGATTCCTTTGCCACTTGTTTTTCTCTTAAATGATTAATTACTCCTTCCTAAACTTTTAACAAATGCCCCTCTCCCAGAAGATGATGTAGTCATAGCATAGTTCTTTAACTTAAGGAGTATATTGCTGTAGAAATTTCACACTGTGGTGGTTGTGTGATTCTAGTCTTTGTTCCTTCAAATCACTCCCTAAAAATGTCCTGGGATAACTTTTCCTATATTTCTATCATGTCTTGCCCTAACCAAAAAAACTTGGATAGACTTAGTGCTCTTAGGGTAAAATTCAGTTCTTCAAATTTTTTGGACTGAAGCCCTTATTTGTTGCTTCTGTGTCTATAAATCTATACCAGAAAGGACCTTAATACGACTTACTTAAGTACTTTCTCATGTTACGTCCTTCTCACAGGACCTCATCACCCTACTGCCCTCAAATCAAGTTCCAGTGCTTTATACCTTTTCAAATCTTCTCAATATCTGGTGTGATCTGAACTTCCTAACATCATATACTATACAACCCCAGTCAAAATGAGTCTCGGGCAGTTGGTCTTCCCTTTCCTTTTACCTGAAATGTCCTTCCTTTAACTTCCTCTCTTCTTTCCCAAATTTTGATTGTCCTTTAATGCATAGCTACAGTCCCATCTCCTGATGAAGCCTCACCTGAATAATCAGTCTGCCCTAATTTCATCTCAAGGCAATTCTATGTCCTCTCTCTCTCTTTACTGAATCAAATAGTACCTTTAACTTTTGTTATGTCATCCCATGATTATGTAATGTGACTATATCTAGGCCACAATAAACCTATGGTGTTGTTCTGTAAGTGAAGCTGATTCCTGAACACCAAAAATGCTGCTCTAAAGTCAGGAAAAAACAGCTAAATTATAGAGGGTCTTTAATCTGGGATTTCGTGAGGACGCTAAAACTACTGCTTAGAGTGCATGAAACCCAATCTTGTTATGAGAAATGTGAAGTTTATGTGCTTATAATACCAGTGTATGTACAATAAAAGCTAGGGCACTCAACAGCCTCTGATTTCATTCTCAAGGTATTCCTTGTGGATGTGGGAATAACCATTATCCATTTCTCACTTTGGCTAGGGCACCCAACCAATGGATTTTCCCTTTGACTCACATCTCATTTGGCCTGCTGTAGCATGACTATTCTTGTTTCTTGACTCTTACTGCTAATTGTAAATAGTTCTTAGTCTCCCTTAATATTCATACTGTTTACTCCAGAAGTGGCATTTTTAGGGCCAAAATTCTGCCCTTCTATCCTCAATGTGGAGAGCATGCATGCCTTGTGTGAAGATTAGAATTCTCTAACTCTGGCAGCTGTGTTCTCTCTGTGCTATGTGGCTAGAAAATATCTTAGTGTCCACTTGCGGGAAGATTATTTTTTGAAAAACATGAGTTTTGAAGACAGATTTGCAAGTCTAAGTTTCCTGTAAAAGGGGATAACAGCTTTTCCTCAGCGCCACTAAGGCGCTCTGTTCTGCAGAAGCTAAGGCCAGGGAGGGGTGAGGCCCTCATTTCATCCTGTGATTAGCACCTCGCCTGATAGCATCCATTCAGCTTTCACCTGCACCATGGCCTCCTTCTGGGAGCTTGTCTGTTTCTATTCAACCCTCATCCTGCGCAACGATGAGGTCTGGGTCACAGAGGATACAAGCAGCGGGTGTAAACGTTGAACCTTCCTGGCTGGGCTTGTGTGCAAAGACTCTGGCCAATGTGAGCATCAGGAGCCTTATCTGCAAAGTAGGGCCTGATGGACCTGTCCCAGCAGCTGGTGCAGCACCAGCAGAAGGTCCTGCTCCTTCCACCACTGCTACCCCAGCTGAGAAGAAAGTAGAAGCAAAGAAAGAAGAATCAGAGGAGTCTGAGTTTTGGTCTTTTTGACTAAACTTCTTCTGTAATCTGTTCAATAAAAAGCTAAACTGTTAAAAAAGAAAGAGGGGTGGATACCAAACAAAATAACATTTCCCTTAGTTTAAAGGTTACTTCCCTGCACCACCTCACCCACTAACCACACCCAGTCTAAGTCAGATTTCTTTGTTTTAAAATTTCTCTTAAATTTGTTCCTTTGCTTCAGAATACTGCAGAATAGTAGGTAACATTTGGAGTCTGGGGATGATTCATTGATCAGCTTATCTCTTCCCATCAATGTAAGTTCCACAAGAGCAGATGCTGTGCCTGATTTAGTTAACCATTACTTTCCCAGCTATTTGCATTGGCCCAGCTCCTCAGATATTTGTTGAATGGAAAAATATGTCATAAAATTGGTAGAGGAAAGAAAAGCAATAAAGTATGTAAAGCACTGTATAAACATTATAAGGCATATGTATGTATATATGTGTGTGTATATATGGTATATAATCAGTATATAGAACACTATGGTTATCACATGGTAAGTCATAAATGTTAACATTATTATTATTATCTACTCTTACTTGAAATCTGAACTGTAAAGTGCCCTCTTTCTTGCAGAGCAACACGGACACCTCTTATGCTATGTCATTGACTAACCTCAACTAAAAGCAGTCAATCCATCTGAATGCCTGTTGACACTCAAGAACCTTGTTAGGCCTACAAAGCTGGGAGCCTTACCTCAGTGCAATACTCAGTTCAGTCATTACATATTTGGTGATTTACCTTACAGAATTGTTAAGATCATATTTCCAAATAGGACCTCTAACACGGCTCATCTCTCCACAGACTAATCAGAATGGCCTCACAAGAAAATAAACTGGTAGAAGCCCACACACATTAGCAAAATTACCTATATGGAGCCCATGGCAAGTTTCACAGGTGCTAAGTTTCCATTTTACAAAGGTTTTGCCTAGAAACTAACTAGGAAATTTAGCAACAAAAAGGAATTAAAAACAAATGGCTAAGTGAAACGTAGATTTATGCTTAGGCAATTGGGAGAATCTGGCTTTTTATGTGCCAGCCCATAGTATGTGTTCAATAAATATCTTGAACAAATTTTGGAAAAGAAAAACATGTCTCAATGGCTCTTGGCATTGATTGCCTCCTCTATAGGTACCACACATCCCTTTCCTGACGGAGCAGGTCTTTAAAAACCTGTGATTTTAGTAAAAGCAGGCATATCTTCCTAGTCAGGACAAACTTTTAAAATACTTTCGCTCCACATAGTTTAAAAAAAAAAAAAAAAAAGTGATGAAGCTCCTGGAACTATTATATGGGAAATGGTTTCCTTACTGCAGGAGTGCAGACTGGGCTCTCAGGTCCCGAGGGTGAAATGTGTAACTCCTCCTCGCCCCACATTCTTGGCTGGAGATGCCCTGTGGGTAAGTTTGGGGAGCGGTAAGAATAAGGGGACAATTTCAATATCTTCACGTAGGGAGAACCTCTTGAGGAAGTCAGGCTGTCAAGGCCAGCAAAAGGGAAAGGAAATTCAATTTAAAAACTTGTAGTCGCGACTGTTAAAAAAACGGGGGGGGGGCGGGGATAAAGGAGTAGGGAAAATGGGTGGGGGGTGGAGGGAAGAGACTAGTAAAGGAAAACTAGAAGAGGAAGAAAGTTTGCCACGCAGTTTGTTGTTTCTCCTGCTCTTCTCTCGCACTCCCTCCAGAAGCTAGAAAAAGTTTGCAAGCGCAGCATTCGGGATGGGCGAGAGAGCTCTTCATTTATGGACCCACGAAAAGAAGATCCCGCTTCACCCCAACGGATCCGCGCCGCCGCGGTCTGCCCCTTGTCCGGATGATGGAGGGCAGCCGGGAAACCCAGAGAGGAGTTAGCCCTGGCGGACCCCCCTGGATCCCGCAGAGGCCGAGCCGGGGCGCGCAGCTTTCTCTCCGTCCCGCAAAGCCTCCCCTCCCTCCTCGTCCCGGAAAGGAAAAAGGAAAGACCTAACCTCTACACCAACCTTACCCCTCCCCCTCTTCCTGGAGGAGCTAAAGCAGAAAGTACGGTTCCGTGATTCACCGGACAGAAAAGAGGGAGGAGGCGGCAAAGAACGCCTGGTGCCAAAACTAAGTAAGTTGGCTGACAAAACGCACCCATCTTTCCGCGCCTCGGCCGGGTGCACCAACTCCGCGGAGACCTGGTGGGCTCGGCGTGGAACGGCCACCCGGGCGGGGACCCCGCTTCGCTCCCCCACGCGCTCCAGCGGCCCGGAGGACCCGGTGCCCGACGTTCCTGGAGAAAAAGGGTGGTTAGCCGCGGAAAGAAATCAGGAAACTGGGCTCCCCCCCCACCCCCCCACTTCGCCGCCTAGTGTCGGGGAGATTGGCAAACGTTCTGGAGAGGACCGGGAGAAATAGCCAGAAAAGTGAAGAGAGTGGTCAGGAAGTCAGTCCCCTTCAGGCAGCAGTTTATCTGCTAGAGCCCGAGCGAGGCGTGGCGGCTCAACTTCCAGGGCTTTCCAGGTGAGGGACGCCGGACGGCGGGTCCCAGCGACCGGCGCGCGCCCGCGAGGGCCTCGCTCCGCAACGTCCAGGGCGCTCTGGCAGGGAAAGCCCCCACAGAAGGTGGCTCTCAGTGCCTTACTAGACTTTTTCTCCCGACAGCTTTTGGATGGAAGCATTAACTTTGTGCGGAAGCTGCTCGGGGGAGCGGGGAGGAGGAGAAAGTGAAAATTGGAGGAGAAGAGCGACTCCTTGTTTTTCCGACGTCTCACCACTTCTAGAAGGTTGACGTTGTTGGATGTGGTGACAGCTGAGAGGGGCGCAGGACTTCTTTCCAAGTGGAGACGGTCCACCGCCTGCTCGGTCGACCCCTCCCGCGTGCATGTGGGCAGCGGCGGCGGCGGCACGCGGTGCGTGGTTCTGCGAGTGGAGTCTCAGCCGGGACCCAAGTGAATGGCCCCCAGGGTCTGTGCGGGGCCTCCGCCTCCCTCGCCTCCTCGAGCCTGGGTCTGGCCGGGAAAAATGCTAGCCGTGGGGGCGCTGGCAGCCTTCTGGGCGCTCAGCCTCCTGACCTACGGTTACCTATCCAGGGGCCAGGGCTTGGAGGAGGAGGAGGAAGCGACCTTTCGAGCTCAGTCTGGAGAGAGACCGGAGCCCAGTACGACTGCCACCTCCCAACCCCATCTCATTTTCATCCTAGCGGATGATCAGGGATTTAGAGATGTGGGTTACCACGGCTCGGAGATCAAGACTCCCACTCTTGACAAGCTCGCTGCCGAAGGAGTTAAACTGGAGAACTACTATGTCCAGCCTATTTGCACACCGTCCAGGAGTCAGTTTATTACTGGAAAGTAAGTGTTATCACTTCGTATATTTATTCCTTGGAGAAATTTTATGCATTTAATTAAAACCGAGCTCCTAATTTTAAGGAGTAACAGAAAAAAAACATGGCAAACGAGTGAATGAATGAAATGTGGTATTGAGTTATGGTGAGTATTAAATTGGATACCTTGTTAATGATCTTGAACGTCTCCTCTCTAGTCTAGGCTCATTTTCTTACTCTCGGAGCCTGCTGGGACGCGCCCTCCAAGCTTTTAAATGAGGTTAGTATTTGTAAAGTCTCACCTACCAACCACATGTCTCCAGAAGGGGTCTCCTTTTCCAAATCTATTTTGTTTTTTGAGCATACTCAGATTTGTTTCAGGCGTCGCAACAGAATTCACCATCGCCATTACTGATAAGAAAGATGAAAAATGTTCTGCAACTCAGTTTGTTCTTAAATCTAGAATTGAATACTCAAAGCTGTAAGTTCTCATGGACGTAAAAGAGGTCGAGGAAACAGATGGAAAGCAATGTAAAATCAGTGTACAAATGACTGGGTCTTTGATAGGTAACTTTCTCTAACTGGATCAATAATGAGGGCCATGTGAGATTACCAAGGTGATTCTCAAAATGCAAGGAAATTCAATGATGAATGTTCAACAGGAGTCAAATTTCATCTGAAGTTTTCTACTGCTCATCACATGTCTGAGAATTTTCTGGTTAACTCTAAGAAAAATCAAATTATTTGGATGCTTAAGTAAAGCATTTTTAATTTGTTGCTTTGCTAAATCGCTAAACCTTCTGTTTAAGACAGTCATTCATTTTCAAAGTTTATTCTATCCTATTAGAAGATAGGTTACTGTTACTGATTTGGATGTCCAAAGTCAGCCTGTGCAACAGAGATAGATTAGGAGGTCTGGAGGTCAAGCCATCACTGGACAGTGGTAGAAGAGAAGCCTAGTGGTTCAGTATATGTGTCCTGCGCTTTCAGTGTCAGGGAACCCTGCTTCAGGGAAGTTGTTCTTGGAATTGGATCCTCTCAAAGTAGCCAGTATCCATTGGGAAAAAAAAAAAAAAAAAAGATTATTTTGTAAGAATCTCTGTCTTGCAGAGACTTTTGCTTATAGCATGGTTTCCACTGCTTAGCAAACTGTCAGAATGTAGCATCACTGCCAGAAAAAAAAAAAGGAAAAAAATCCCATCCTTTCCTTTCCTGAGAATGAGAGATTTTTAAAAGTCTCACTCTACTTCAGAGTCATTTTAAAGGTTATTTGTAGCATCAGAAAGTCAAGGGTGTTTGATATTTATAAAGGAGCAGATTTTTGGCTGGAAAATAATTCCATCTGGTGGCCTGCAGGTCAAGTTCTTCATGTCTAATCCCAACCACTCTTACATTTGGTTTATGATATAAATGTGTCATAAAAGCTCGCTAAATCTCTTCAACTAATTTAGAGAATTTAAATTTACTGGGATAGCTGATAGTAGTTGAAAATATGTACATGAATTATGTGAATTTTATCTTTCACAGTAGAGCATATGCTATAAGGCTTTTCACCAAGTAAGAACATTTAGTTCCTAAACATTTTCTTGCACGGATAAAATATCTGGTTTTATCTTTCAATCTTTATGTTTACTTAATGACATGAAACAGAAATGAAGTTAGAATAATTCCTAATTTTTTTCTTTTTTTAATTGAAGATAATATACAGTGTTTCATTTATTTTAGGCATAAAACATATTGATTCAACAACTCTATATATTATGCTATGCTCACCAGAGTGTAGCTAATTTTTCTTTTGTCAAAGGTTGACTCTCTTGTTCTTTCAATGCAATCAAACATCTAATGAAAGGATTTATTCTCCTATTAAAATTTTCTATTCAGTGCAACAAATTGTGTAGCTGTTCTATAGATGAGAAGTTTAAATAGATACTGTACTTGATTTAAATTTTTGTTTGATTTAAGCAGTTGAAGACATTTTCATTTGCAGTTCTCCTTTTAGACTGGAAGCTTCCTTAAAATGAACACAAATATAAGAAAGAAAGTAGTGACAGAAGCCTAGTTGTGGGCCTAATATTAATAGTGCAGAACTCAGGGATTATGGTCATTTGTCCTCTCCAGGAGCACATATGTATACTCTCTGGATTTTCTAAAGTAAATCAAAACAAAAACAAAGAGCAATAAAAACCTAACTGTCCTGAATTATTTTAAGTGAAAAATGTGTTATGTAAAATATGAGAGGATTCAAATCTTTTATAAAGTAAGTTAAAATGATTAAAACTGAGGCTACTTTTAATACTATTAACAAATCAAGCCTCCTTTTAGGTTTTGCTGAAGTTCAAAATGTAAAAATCTATTCCCCTATACTGCATAAATGTGCTGCAAATTCCAGATTGCTTTAATAATTTATATCATACCCATCTGGTAATATTAAATATCAGTTAGACTGTCAGCAAGCATTCACTGTGTACAGACAGATCCCTGTATTGGAGCTCTGAGGAATAAGGAAGAAGTAATCCTTAATCTCTGGATAGTGGTCTTCAAATTTAAATCTATGAAAAGAATCACTCAAAAGGCTAGTTAAAATGCAGATTTCCAGGCCCAGCTAGCAATTTGGCTTCAGTAGGTCTGGGGTTGAGCCCAGAAATCCATAGTGATTTAGCAAACACTTCAGGTTATTCTGATGTTAACAATATCAATACAAATTAAGGGTGTAATTATTAAGTGCTAACATCCATTGTTCCAGGGTAATGCATTTTTGTCTCATTTAATCTTTATAACACCCTATGAGATAGTTGCTGTTGTTATGTTCATTTTTTAATATTTATGGCAAAAAATTTTCAAGAGACGTAGTAATGCAGGGGCTCTGTACATGGGACTTGCTGAAACAGCACGAGTTGGCCTGGTGATAAAAAAGTTCGATTGAGAAAGTGGCTGTCTACGTTTGATTTATTTCAAAGTAATTTTCTCACCTTTTGTTTTGTTTTTCACAGTTTTACAAATAAAGACATGGATAAATGACATCATTTTTTCTTTTTTTAAAGATTTTATTTATTCATGTAAGAGAGAGAAAGCACAAGAAGGGAGGAGGGGTAGAGGGAGAGGGAGAAGCAGGTTTCCTGCAGAGCAGGGAGCCTGATGAGGGGCTCATTCCCAGGACACTGAGATCATGACCTGAACCGAAGGCAGATGCTTAACCAACTGAACCACCCAGGCACCCCGTGACATCATTTCTTCTTAAAAGAATATAATGAAGGCTACAGAAAGAGAATTAAAAGTTTTGCAAAATTTAGAGGTACCCGAGTGGCTCAGTCCATTAAGGGTCTGACTCTTGATTTTTGGTTCTGTGCAGAGTCTGCTTGAGGATTTTGTCTCTCGCTCTGCCTCTCCCCACCTCTGCTGTGTGCTGTCTCTATCTCTCTCTCAAATAAATGACTAAATCTTAAAAAAAGTTCTGCAAAATTTAGACATGCATTTTATGCAGACTTTAGGAAAAATTGACAACCTGAACTAAATTTATATCTTTGGCAATAATTTTGTTTTTTTACTATTTTGTTGTTAATTTTTCTACTTGAAGTGCCATGATGATGATTTTTATAAATGCAAAGGTAACTCAAATGTGTATTTGTAATAAGATATTTGATAAATTCATTTTGTGCTAAAAAAAACTCCTTCTTCTTGCCAAGGGTAGTCATTCTCCTGACTTCTAACACTTCAGGTTAATTTTTGCCTTTTGTTTGAACTGTATCTTAATGGAATTATAGAAAATGTACTCTTTCATGTCTACCTTCTTTCTTTTAACATTACTTTAGTAAAACTTTTCCATGTTGTTGCCTGTAGATGTAATTAATTCATTCATCCTCATTACTGAACAGTGTTCTTTTGTATAAATATATGACAATTTATTCATCCATTCTACTGTTGACAGACATTAAGGTGGTTTCCAGTGTTGGGGCATTATAAATAGTGCTGCCATGAGTGTATTTGTATGTGCTTGTTGATGAACATATGTATTTGTTCTTTTTGGATATCTATCAAGAACTTGGATTACTGGGTTATGTGTGTATTCATTTTCTGTGGATAGTTTCGCAAAGTGTTTCCAGCAGTTTAAACTCTTACCAGTTCACACTCTTAGCAGTGTATGGAGAGTTCTAGTTAATTCATATCTTTGTCAACATTTGATACTGTTTTTTTCACTTTAGTCATTCTGGTTGTTACACACTGGTATACCATTATGGCTTAAATTTGCATTTCTCAGGTGAGTAATGAAGTTGGACATCTTTTTATATTTTTATGGACTATTTAAATAATCCCTTTTAAGAAGTATCTTTTTAAGTCTTTGTCTATTTTCTCATTAGGTGATTGTTCTTTCTTACTGATTTGTGATAGTTATTTATATATTCTGTTTCTTTGTCAGATATTTGTACTGCAGATGTCTTTATCCACTCCATGGCTTACTTTTTCACTCTTAATAGTGTTTTTGATGAACAGAAGGTTTTAATTTTAATGTAGCCTAGTTAAGACTCTTTTTCTTTTTATATCCTATTTAAGGTATTTTTGACTAAATCAAGATCTTTTTTTCTAAAAGTTTTATTGTTTTATTTTTATATTTAGATCTATAATTCATCTGAAATTAATTTTCTGTTATGGTATAAGTCAGGGTTCAAGACTATTTTTTCCCATGTGTATCTCCATTGGACCCACACTATTTATTTAAAAAGCCATACTTTCTCCACTACACTACAGTGTCACTTTTTCATAAATCAGAAAAATGTAGATATTTAGGTCTATTTCTGGACTCTATTCTGTTCCATTAGTTTCCTTGTCTATCCTTGTGCCAATACTACATTCTTAACTCTTATAGCTTTATAATACTGATATCTGGAATGTAAGTTCTCTGACTTGTTCTCCTTCAAAATTGCCTTAGCTCTTCTTTAACGGTTCATTCATTTTAATATGGGAGAAGGGAAAATATGAATGTACAAATGCAAATAGGTTGGGAGATTTGGTTTTGGAATATGGAGTAGTTCT